AGGATCTGCCAAACTAAAAAGGTAGTTGATTTGCTTCAAAAAACCGTTAGGATCAAAACATTAAGAAAAAAAAAATCAAAACCCACAATCAGCTAGAAAATGTGATGCCCAGAGGTGACAAAGGGGATTTAAATGGCCTTTGTGAACGGAATGGCTGCTGAGTGTTACGCCAGTGATGAGAGACGGACGCGCTCCACATGCGTGTGATGGCTAGGACCACACACAGAGGCACGGTGGAGGGGGGGGGGGGGGGGGGGGGGGGACAGCAGAGAGGCTCTGCAGAAATTCCTGCTCGGTGCGCGGGGGGGGGGGGGGGGCGCGGGCAGAGTAAGCAAGAGCGCCGTTAATGCGCTTGTGGGGGAAAAAAAACCTGCTGACAGACGGGCTAGAGAGGCTCGCTGGGACAGGCCCGGGAAGACGAAGGATCGCGCACGCGTGTTTGTTAACGTGCTGTTAAAGCCCCGTGTGGTGAGAGATGCAGATTACACAGATTCCACATGTCTGGATCAGACACACACACACATACACCCAGGTTTGTAGAGAGGCAGCCCCAACCTTACCCCTAGGCAACTAAACAAAATATGAGACTTTTGGCATTTTTACTTTTTTGATTGCATTCACAGATCTTTGTGGGGACCTGAAAAACAGTCCCCACAATGTCAGAATAACAGGTTTTTATTACATTGTGGGGGACATTTGGTCCCCACAATGTCACATAAACTAAATCTACACACACACACACACACACTTGTCTTCCGACCTGTGCCGATTCACCATTGCAACTGCAGTATGAACCACTCCCTGGCTACAGACTAAACAAGTGGTGCCAGACAAAGCTTTCCAATGTAGCAAATGTCGTACCCACCTGTGGGGCCAGTGGTGGGGGGGGGGGAGCTCACTGAACCAGACCCAACAAAAACACCACCAAGGCTTTTCCAGTTCCATGTGTAGCTGCACCCGGCTCCACGCTTTCCATCTCTGCTGGACGTGTGCCCCCACCACTGGTGCGGCCGCCGTGAAACTCCTTGGCTAGGAAGAGTACTGCTCCGAGGGGGGGGGGTCACTCCCGCCAGCGGAGTGTGAGATGTGCGGGCAGTCAGGGCCACCATAAAAGATGTCACTGTGCCCTGAGGATAGACGCTATGCGTTATGTCTGCCACAAATCAGGAGATATATTTGCGTTAAATCTGTGTAGCTAGTGCCATGCTCTACATGTCCCATTAATGCAGATTAGGCAGCACAGAATGGATTGTTATTATTTGCCAGTTTGAAATATATAGGCATTCCCCAGGTATGGAACGTCCAACTTACAGACAACTCATACTTACTAAAAAACCGTCATAAAGCCTATTATGCAAAAAATCTTCATTAAATACAGTGGTTCGTTATAAGGAACATGCGTACTACATTGTGATGCCCGTGAAAACATCGTATGGCTTCAGCAGCTCAGCGACTGGAGGCACAGTACAATACAGTATCATCTGTAGTTACTTTTACTATCACTATATTATTAATATGTTCTGCATTATTACTGTTCCAACTTACTTAAAAATTCGACTTAAAGACAGACTTAGGGAACGGATCTCGTTTGTCACCTGGGGACTGCCTGAGTAGACAATATTCCTCTAGAACTTTCTTCAGGCTTCCCAGAGGCAAATATATTGTTGCAGTGATTGAATCCATCCATCTCTTTGCTGTTCCATCACCTCCCTTCAACCTTTCAGAGCTTCATGGGATTCTTCAATGCACTGGGTCTTCTCATAATGTACACAAAATAAGATGATTAAACTGGTTTATGAATGGTATGCGATGTAATCAGTAATACTCAGTGCCTTAAGGGAAACTGCTGTTATGCAGTGTCTCCTGACCCCAAATTAGTAGCCATCTGAGACTGGTCTTTCATGCGTGTTCTTTTGTGGCTATGCATATCTCCTGTGACAGAACAATGTTTGAGTCAGTAAAGTATAGAGGGGGGAAAAAAAGCATTTTATGTACCATGTGTTATTATTTTCTATGCAGCTAGATACTGGGAATTATAGTCTGTCATCCATCCATCAGCCCCTTGTAAGCAGCTGGTTGCCCAGTTAGGGGTACCAGTTAGGGGTACTGCTCTTATATGCAGCATTTACTGGTTTACTGAAAGACACGGATCCATTATATATATTAATAAAATGCCGTGAAAGTGGTATTTTGGAAAACAAGTTGGTGAAAAGGCTAGGTCCTAGACCAGTGTTTCTATCATGGCACACTTCATAAGGCATTAATCCCAGGGCACAGCACTGAGTAACTATTACTCAACAGGAACATGAATCTATATTCCAGATAATCGTCACTGTACTGTCTGCTTACCAGTTTTGCTCTCTTTTTTTTCCTCTCCACTGCAGAAGGGTATTGGTTCGGGATCAAGTACAATTTTTTTTCTTCTAAAATTTCTCCACCATCTTGTCTTTCTACTACAGGGCAGTTTGTAAGTTGTCGAACACATGTACGCGAACGTGTGTCAATTGTAGGGCGGTCTAATTATGTGACAAGGGCACTTCAAGCCTACTGGATAATTAAATGAATAAAAAGTCGCTTAAACACAGTTTTTTTCCGTCTAAGTCGCTTATAGTACATTCATAATTTAGTCATACACACACACACACACAAACAAACACACGCACACATACTTGTAATGTAATTATATCTTTGTGGGGACTCTCCATTCATTTCTATGGGGAAAACCCTAGTCCCAGCATGACGACCATAACCCCTACCCAGCCCTAACCCTAACCATAAGTAACCAAACTAAATACAAGACTTTTGTCATTTTTAGTTTTTTGATTGCATTTACAGATCTTTGTGGGGACCTGAAAAAGAACGTGGATGAAAATGGCGTGGGTATCACATCAAAATAACAGGTTTTTATCACAAATATAATATAAACCTAATCCACACACACAAGCTCAGACACACAAAAAGCATGCCGGCTGAAAAATGCTGCCCTTAACAAAGTTAACAATGATCCAGTGTAGTTCCCTAAGATGAGATCTTTCTTCAGTTCTTCTTCAGTCCAGGGTGACAAACACTCCACAATCTGTACCCACAGCTTACACAGAAAGCTATTATTTAACTATTTGCCAGGTATGTGAAGCCTACAAGGATTTTTTTCTTGGAGTTACAATGTGTGTGGAACAGAGCACAGACGTACGACATCAGACAGGTAACATAAAAAATCCATAAAATATACACATAAAGTGCAGTTCCATAGAAGATGGAACGTAGGGAGACTGATTGAAAGGTGTCCTGTGGCAGGAGGGATACAACTGTGGATGGTTCTGAAGATTCAGAGGTGTTACTGCTTTAGGGAAGAAGCTGTTGGCCAATCTCAGTGTCCTTGTCTTTAGCGCGCTAAGCCTTTTGCCAGAAGAAAAGGGATCAGAAGAGGTGGGAATGTGCAACATTATCTTGCCGGCATGCTTTAGAACCCTGTTGTAGTAGCTGTCCTGTAGGGAGGGCAGATTGCAGCCGAAGATTTTTTCCTGCAGTCCTAATGACCTTTTGTAGTCTCGCTACAATTATGATTTAGACTTTACTTTTAACCATCAACACTGCTGAAGATAAGCAGCTGAAGGATGGATGGATTACAATGACACCAACACCTTGATAAGGCCACATTTTTCGGTGAATTTCACATCATGCACAATTTCATACAGACAATTTGAGAGACGCTACAGTTTAAAATCCTTTTCTATCAGCATGGGGTATTTCATGGTCAGTGGTTTAGGTAAGCCTTAACTCTTTAAAAATAAAATAGATAGAGAGATCAATCCCCTAAATTGTAGATAAACAATCCACCCTCAACTGTGGAACATTTAGCATTCAATCACTGAAAAATGTCAAAAACTTAAACATGATCTCTCTGGAACAAAAGCAAATGTGCCAGACAGGGTGGTTCTCCTTTGACAATTCTGACATGTTTGCAAAGGTAGTCATATTAATATTGGAAGCAATTAATGCACGACGGAAAAATGCTTAATGTATTCTATGGGAACAATTTGCTATCATAACAATTGTCAATATGACATGTCGACCCTAGTACCTGTTTATTTAGCAGTGGGTTTATGAAGTTATTTCTTTGTTATTAAGATGAATCTTCAAATAAAATTTATTAAAATGCTAAGGGGAAAAGTTATTAGATGGTGTCAGACTACCTAAAACATCTTAATTAGTACTTAAAGAGGCAGGTTTCATAACCTAAACAAAAAGTGTGCAGTGCTTATTTTACATAATAATTTCTGATCCGCCAAAGCCTTGAGTTTAATGACTCATAGGCCTGGTGTTAATCAGGGCTGTCAAATCACAGACGGCCTACTTCTCTGTTAATTTAATTGTGACCGGGTCTGACAAGGACAGGAAACGGACACACAGAAAGACCGTCTGCTCATCAAAATGTGTAACTGAGGAAACGCACAGCGTTGTCAAGCGACAGCTGTAGGTAAGCAAGCCGCTCTGTAAACCTCCAACACAGGCAGCCGTGTCTAAGGGACAGTGAGGGGGGGACATGCTCCAGGCATCGGGTCTGAACGGCTCCACGTGCGAGAGGAGGGGCTGACCACAGTCAGAAGAGCAGCACTCACTCCACGCTTCACATCAACACGAAAAAAAAAAGAAAAACGACTACTGAAAAATAATTAGCTAAAACCACAGGCATGCGTAATTGGAGACTCATTAGTGATTTTAAACAAGACTGTTCAGATCTAACAACCCAGCGTAGTGGCCAGATTCAAACCTAGGACAATCAAATGGGGTGCCGGACACCGGGAACTGTGTGTGGCCTTCAAGTGCAGGATAACCCAGAATGACCTTCCCCAGCAGGTGGTGTGCATGTGCTGAAAATGGCATATATCAACACCTCGAAACAGACTAAACCTTACACTGAGGTCTAAACAACTGCCAGAGTCCCAAACCACCTTACGAAAGGACAAATGGCAATATAAGCACAAAAAAAAAATACAAAATCACAGTCAATGGTTATTTTAATGGGAGGCCAGATGACGCACAAATGAGCCTGCACACCCATTCCTGTCCTTTACTGTTTTGGAGCCACAAGGAACAAAAACAGGATGAGTTACAAATTCAAAATTTCATTTGTGTTAAAATTACTTCGCATGTAAAAGTCCGGTAAATAAAACCTACTGAGAACAACACATTCAAGTTTCTGAAAGTCACAGGATTTCCCTCCCCAACATCATACATGTATATAAAACTCCTTAAAACCTGAAAAGTCCTTTAAAAGCTAATATGCATCGGCATGTTGTGTAAACAATGGTACTCGCTAATCATTTTCAATAAATAACTGCAAAGTCTCCAACCTGCTCAGCAATACATTATTACGCATAACTGTATAAGTATTAAAATACCAAAAAGAGCTCCTACTTCTTCCACAGGAACTTTTCATTCTTCCTCCAGAGCTGGGAGCCATCAGCTTGTTTATCATTCTTAGCTCTGGCAGCTACATTAGTATTGTTACATATCTTTTCTACCTGAGACAGATCCGTCAGCTTGTTGATGCACTCCTCGTTTCCTTCGCTGAGGATATCCCAGAAGTCTTTGCGGTGAACCTTTGCCCTCTTGGCGTGACCTGAAGCATGTGACGGGGAGAGGCCAGTGGATTGGTCGACCCTGGTCTTTCTTTTGAAGAGGTCATCCAGGATGGAGGTGTCTCCTATCAAATCTGACAGGAGGGGTACGTGGGAGCTTGGTTCGAGGCCGGAGAAGGAGGAGGTCACTGGTGCCTTTCCATTCCTCGGTGGTAATGCCCCACCAGGCATGGACACATGCTGATCCAGCACAGGGCTTCGGCCTTGGAGGTTGGAGGCTGGGGCGGCTTTGGTTTCATCTGCATACAATTTTTCTGAGGGCTCGCCTGTGGAGTCACCCTCAGCGGGGGTGGGGCTGTTCATGTTCACACTGGGGTCTTTGGGGGCCCCACCGCAAGACGGGATCATAACCCCCTTCTTTTCCTTCATTCCCTCTGGGAGTTTCTGCTGCGCCGAACTTGATGTCTGGAAGTTAACCCGGGATTTGGATTTGGACGCCGGCCTGGAACTCGTCCGTGAGGAAGATGAGGCCTGCTCTGGCGTAGCTGACATGGGGGGCTTGGGTTGCCGTGGTACCGGGTCCTGAAAGACCTTGGGGAGGAGGGCCTTGAGTTGGGGGTCCCGGGAGCTGTAGAAGTCCTGAAGCATGACCTGCCGCCTGCTGGAGGTGCTGTTCAGCACTTCCTCTGCAAAGGCCCTCGTCGAGGAGGCCTGGAAGTATGTGGCCATATCTGCCAGCTGCTTCCTGGAAGACGGGAACATGGCAGCCAGGTAACAATACGGACATTATGACACTTTCCGCGAGATCACCAAACATGACAGGGAAAAAGACCTAAATTCACCAAATCACCCAGTAAGCAAGTAAACATGAAACTTCTGCTAAAATACTTCAAAGCATCTTGATTTTGCCAGTTATTATGAGGTGTTACTGCCACTTGTGGGTTTTGTAGGAAAAACAATAAATAAGCAACAGTAATAAAAATGCTCTGGTCGCAGACTTAACTGAACAGCAAATTTAACTGGGAGAATAAACGTGGTCTTGAGCGAAAAGCCACGCTTTTTTTTTTATTCAGGATGGTTTCAGGCAAAGCGGGAGGGGGGAGGGAGGGGGGCGGCTGGGAGGCGTGAGGCGGTGCGGTCGGGACTCACCGCAGCCCTCGGCTGGAGATCCGGGCCCGAGTGGGAGGGACCCCAGGGCTCTGCGCTCCGGGGCTCAGAAAATCAGCCGTGGAGGGATGGAGCCAAACGTGGCATTTTTGGGGGAAAGGACGGGGCGCTCTGGGGTGGTCCCTCCCCCAGGACTGGGGTGGGGGGGCTGTCCTCCACAGCTGTGGCTGGGACTGGCATGAAGCCCTGGACTGGCGGGAATTTCCTCCCTGGGCCCTTTCACATTTTCTTTTCCCTTTTCTTTTTCTTAAATATATAATTAGAGGATATGTTTGGTAGATGCTTTTTTTATCTGGTTTTTCTCTGAGGAGGTCCTGTCTGCACACACACAGGAGAAGGCCTTCAGCCTCTGCTGAACACGGGTTCAGTTGAATTTGTGTCATGCTTACACGGTTATGGTCTGACGGAGTCTGTTTCCCACATTCAGGCAGTGAGCTCTCCAGTGTTCCCTGGAGAAAGCCAGTGTGGGACCGGAGGAATTTCGGTCGGGGAGGGGGGGGGGGTGGGTAGTTGCGAACTGCAATCTTTACATAAATGTCTGCTTTCAGGTGAGTGAGGACCAGTAAACTACTTGTCCATTTTAATATAGACAAAAAAAAAGTGCAAATGGAAAAGTATAGGTGTCATGTGACCCATGGGCATTATTCATCTGTGGTGCAACACCCCATTCTCACCTGCGGAGGGCGTTAGGTGTCTGACCAAAGATGAAGGTAGCACTGCGGCCCCGTAGCACAGCCTGGAAGGTCTGAGAGACCGGGTGTTTCACCGAGGGCCTGGGATGTTCCACCGCTGCTTGCCGTGCCCCTCTCTCTTTGGCGGGACTGGGGGGCAGTGGCAGTCTATCTGCCGACAGCGACTGCAGCGTGCGCATAAACATACACGCGCTCAAAGCCATTCACACAGCTAACGGCAGCGAGCTCACCGATCCCAGCAGCTGCGGGCTCACCTCCAGGCTGTCCAGGAGCAGGTTGGCTGGGGCCTGCGTATTCCTCCCGTACTGGAAGACGTCCCGCACGGCAGCGCGGCTCATGCGGGCCTCGGTGCTGCTGGAGCCCACAACACGCTGATTAGAGTGTGTGTAGATGACCTCCTGCACTCCCCCTAGAGGAAGAAAGAGTGAAGTGCTGAATTTACTTGTCCCTTAGGGTGCAGTTAAGCTTGCATGACATGGTTATATGGCCTGAGTAGGTTACCCCTAATGAACCTCTTCTGGGTGCACTGGTCATCCAAGACCCCATCCAACAACGACGCCCCATCTTATCTTTCTGAACTGCTTCTTCCCTGCCAGCCTCCCTGTACTCGTAGATGCTCCTCCTCTGGCTCTCTCCTCACCCCCCCCTCCCCAAACTCCATGGCTATAGGGGCTGTGCATTTTCCCCTTCAGCTCCCCCACTTTGGATCTCTCTCCCCACTGCCATTCATCTATCAATCTCTGTCTCAGGTTTCAAAATTAAACTAAAAACTTTCTTGTTTGCTCAAGCATATAACCTTCTCCGTCCATAATGTTTTTTCGTTTTCTTATCAGTTTATTTTATTCTATGTAAGCGTCTTTGAGACCTTGAAAAATGCTATATAAATAAAATGCATTATTATAATTAAGGGTTTACTCCAGCCTTATGGTCTCTAATGCCCAATACAGGCTTCTGGCCTCCACACAGGAACGACCAGGAAAAGTGGCAGCTGGATGGATGGATGCTACATTATTGCACATTACCTAACAACTTATCGATGGTCTCCACGCTGGGCTCCTTGCCTGGTTGCCCCCGCTGCCACATTGCCCCTCTCTCCTTCACTTTTGTGTATCTGCCTCGACCTGTGTCACTGTTCCGGCTCCAACTCCGAGTTTCATCCCCGGAATCCCCAAAGCGGGTCGTAGCGCCGTAACGGTCAGAGCCTTTCGAGACCTCTACGTCATCCGACTCATCCGTGTCGCTATCAGGAACCGGTGAGCTGTGGCTCTGGCGTCGAACCGTGTGTTTGGCATGTCTAGGGTTGTCTGAGGAGGACCTGGACCCAGACCCGGACCCCAGGGAATCCTCAGAGTTCACAGCATGGCCTGCTCTCCTTCGCTTGCTTCTCGACTTCCTGCACGGACTTGATGACTGGGCTGTCACGCCAACATCCTTCTTCTCCTGTCCCATTGCCTCCCCCTCAGAGTCACTTGAAACAGTCCAGTTGTGGCCTGTCTTGTGGGTGGGCGGTCTTCCCAAATGGGGAGACGTGGCGTCCTCGTCTGCCGTACTCTCCTCACTCTCACTGCCGCTGCTCACCCTGGTCCCTTGGAGCAGACTGGAAAGTCCATGGTGGAGAAGGCCGAGCCGGTCCGGGGAGACCCCGCTACCGGGGTGTAGCTCTTCATCCCTGCGGGAGGATGGTGGGTTCCTACAGACGCCACGTCCGTCCTCATCCTCGCTGGCGCTGCTGAAGTCTAGAACACCAGCGAACCCCTTAACGGCTCTGCTTCTGCTGTCGCCGTTCATGGGGACTTTTCCGGGCTGCCCTTCAGGTGCCTGATGAAAAATTAAAGCATGACGCTTCACTAATAAAGTGCCATCATGAAATCCATTACAAAAAAGAAATCAGCTAAAGAAACAAATGCAAGAATGGCCCCTTATGGTTATATACAATACGTGAGGTGGTAATGATGTCCATGTGTTTTCTATGAGGGGGAAAAAAAAATTGTTTCACATGGGAACAGAGATGCTGTAAACAAAGAAGAGGATGATGGGAAGAGAAAGGGATGGGAAAGGAGAAGCGCTCCAGCCACGGGTCGCTAAGCAGGTAGTTACTCACGCTCCGTGCAGCTCCCTCCATGGCTACAGTCTCTGCCGTTAGCATGCCTGCCTCCAAGCGTCCTTCTCTCTGCAAAAGACACATGCAAACCTCACACCATGTTCATCTGAAAGCAAAGGGCTACTGGCTGCAGGGCCAAAACATGGACGGGACATCCGTCCCCTTAGCGAAGCTCTGACACAGCTTGACAGTGGCCCTTGGGGACAGTATCGGCAGGGACTGAACGAGGCCTTTCAGGAAGCACACAGATAGAGCCCACAGGACCTGTCAGCATGTCCAAGTCTGGGGGAAACTATCAGAAGGTAAACTGTTCATTTTAATCATAAACCATCTCTGATAAGTGGGATTTTATGTCCCATTAACAGTACAGTTACAGCGTTACAGAGTTCTGGGGTCCTGACACTTTGAGATCCAAAGCCCCAGATACTGTTTTCAGTTGGGTGGGGACCGCTGCCCCCCCTCATCGTCACCTCGAGGATCTGCTTGGTGAGGCAGGCGCCTTGGGTCTGCAGTCGGAAGAGGTTATGGATCCCGAACAGCTCCCCCGTGCGACCGTCCGCCCCCGCCTCGAAGTACCTCCTGGCGTGCTCCCTCCCCACCACGGCCGACTCCAGTTGCTTCATTACAAAACATTTGGGGGGGGTGGGTGTAATGATCATGAGGAAAACAGGAAAAACTCCACCACACACCTATGTCATATTCCCAAGAGGGGAAGCAATGCTCATGCCAAATGAAGTATTTTAAAATACTTTTTATATGGTATGATTATGGAAAAGCAGTGAAGGAGAACTAATTTGGGCAACATGTCGCATCCAGTGTTTCATAAATCGTACAAACAATCCAGGTCGTGCGATCTATAAAACGTGTTGATCTCGGTATATTTTAGGATAAGCAGACTGTTATGGTTATACTATGGTTACACACAAAGCAATTAAAAAACAGATGTGGCCCAACAAATTCAGTGTAACTCAGGCTGCCAAGGTTTATACGGTCACAGAAAGAGCGGGGATTTGACATCCCAGGCCTGTATCACTAATGACTGGCTCAAATGTTATTATAAGTCGGAAACTTCACTGTGTAATTACACTTTAGCTTAATTATTTAGCACTGTGTAGCTTCCAGCATTGTGTAATGGCTCTGTGGACACACACTGTTAGCGACACAGCCGGCTGAGATCTTGTTACAAGGTCAGACACTAGGTTAAAGAGGCAATTGTGGTTTGGGTTACCTTGCCTAACCAGGGCGAGCCATAAACTTCACATTAGTAGCTTTACAACGTTAATTCCTGATAATTAAATTGGAGGTGCAATGTAATTTGCCTTTGCCCAGTAAGCATTTCTGAGATTACTGCTTTGCTGCCTGGAGTCAATGTACTTCTGCGACTGAAAATGCTTATATAACTGACAGCAGATGATACAGAGAGAATTCATGCAAAGCCTGCACAGTTACAGAAAGGTCAGACCATGTACCTGCTTGTAAACCTGCTTCAGGTAAATCACTTCTTCAATGGTGCCTAGAGAAATCAGTCTGAGTACAGTGACATCTCGGTACTGACCAATGCGGTAAACTCTGCAATGGGACACATACAATGAAGGAGAAGTTAAATGTAATAGATATCACATCTTATGTAAGTCTTCATCAGTCAGTGTCTTGAGCGTGTCAGAACTGTTCAGCTGTGTTTAATTTAAGGTCTGTCCATCCAAATCCATCCAGCTACACTCTAATACAGCAGGAAAACTGGGGAAACTATTACTGCATGTATACGGGGGGGGGGCACAAACCTGTCAATAGCTTGAAGGTCGCTGGCAGGATTCCATGTCGGGTCAAACAGCACCACGACATTGGCCCCCACAAAATTCAACCCTAGTCCACCAGCCCTATGAGCAGAAGATCAAGGAAATGTCATTAGAGTACAAAAGCGAACCATCTGCAGGTTTTTACAAGTACAAACACACCTCCTTGCCGGATCAAATGCTACACACTACAGTAAGGGAGCTTTTCCACCGCACCAAGTACCGTACTTTTGGTACTTTCGCTTAAGGCTGCCGCGATTAGTCGACGTAGTCCATGACATCGACGCTGAACATGTGTCAACATCAATATTTTAAATCAACGCATCCTTTTTTAAAATTATTTTTATGAAATGATCTTTATGATTTCTAAAACAGTTCAATTTATTATGAGAATTGTTTTTCTTCAATATCACTATGTAATTATGGGAGTAGTTTAACTTATCACAAAACAAAAAGCCGGTTTGTACACCGTACAAAGTCTGATGGTATACCACAGCGACACAAACACGTACGATGCATGAGATTAAACACTCAGACACTATTCTGGGTGATGGGCTGCCAGGATAGGCAAACCCACCGTACGTGTCGTCTATTCATGTTTAGGAAATTGCCATTAGCATGGAAAGCTTTTTAATATCTTTTGTCCTTATAGCTGCTAAATACAGTCATTATTAAAGCCATAAAGTTGTCTGCCTGCTACTTTAGAATTTCCATCAAATAAGTGTTTGAGAAAATATTCAGTCCAAAATCTGGGCTTATTCTACGCTGATTGATGGTGCCAGTGAGTGTGTTTGTGTGTATGAAGCTTGTTGAGACCAGTGTTGTTATAGCAAAACAAAACTGAAAGGAAAACGGACAGCAAATTAATTAAAAAAAATCATTAACTGAAATAAAAACTAAAACTATAGTCACCACAAAAATATCTTAATCTTGAAAAAGCACTGCCACGCGACCACCGTCATTTTACCTAATTTAACCACGATATCTCCTCTTTTAAAAGATGTTGTGGCTGCTGAGCTGTCCCCTTCTTCAGCACCACATGAGTGCTTATCGCTTCCATGATTTACCAAAACAACAGCATGTGGCGTGCTCCGCTAACCGAAGTCAACAAGCATAAGGATACGCCGAATTTATACAGATGACCGACTTTTGGAGGTCACAATATGCATCTCATTAATAATTTAGGCATACTGCTAATCTGCTTATCGAACTGTGGGCGAAAATAATGTCTGTATAGTCCCGAAAACCCAGCTTCCATTATCTAAAGCCCTGCAATGACATACAGTTTGTTGTTGTCAAAATAAAATTAACAAATGATCAATGTGATTTTCTGGAGGAAAATTAATCATTTAGATCAGTAAAACAGTCGACAGATTAATCAGTAGAAAAATAGTCGTTAGTGGCAGCCCTACTTTCGCTTTTTTACTGACTTTCGGTCCAGTTGCAGTACCAAAAGTGCCAAACCAGTTACTTCTTCAGTACTTTGGGGTTTGACCTGAAATGCTTTCTTTGTCGATTGGTTATGTAAATAGCCTGCCGCTGAAACAGAATACAAATGGCCCCTTGAGAGTTGTTACAAACTCAAACAACAACGATAAACAAAGTAAAAAGAAATACTGCGATCTGGTCGGAAGAACAGATACAACAAAAAGATCAGGATGTCATGACAAGAAATCTACATTTTGTTTAATATACTGCTATATGTGTGCTGTCCTAGAAATGTAATTTTGTTGTAATAAATACTGGGGTATTTATAAAGCAAAAAATGAGTTCATAAATCCCTCACAAACCCATCTTCGACTGACTTAAACAACAAGGATGAAGAGAACACATGCAGTGCTCATGCAAAAGCAGTGGAGGTTAGCTTTAAACTGATTTTTAAACATAAATTTATAGGAATAGTAATTAAAATTTCAAACCTTGCTAAGTTGTTTTTCCTACGACAGAGTAATAGACTGAAAATATTTTAGCAAAACTAACCCCCTGCATTATAGTGTCCGTATACAGAACTGAAAGAAAAAGCCTGACCGTAATCTAGCTTACTAGCAACATAGGAATTACATGTACCTTACATGCAATGTTCGTATTAATATTGCACATCGCCAAGCCATATAATATACTACAGATATTTTTGGAATACAATACAAAATACCCCACCTCACTCTGTGATGTCATTTGACGGCGGTACCAGTTTCACACCAGTGGAAAACCAAAACCTTGAAGTACCGTACTTTTGGTACTTTCTCAAAGTACCAAAAGTACGGTACCTGGCGCGGTGGTGACTGTGTTTTTTTCTGATAGGCTACATGCCCTTCGGCTAATGCTGAAGCCTCACATGGTGGACACCAGGCAGATGTTGATATCCAGCGAACTGTTGAACTCCTTGACAATCTTCACTCGGTCCTTACACCTGGTGGCCCCATCCAGCCTTCGGAACTCCAGCCCAGCTGCCATGCAGTAGCTCTCCAGGACATCCAGGAGCTGGGGGAAAAGCGCGTGTTGAAACTGCTGTAAACCGTTAGCTGCCCGGGAGACCCAAGTGCACCCTGCCTTAAAATGACACCCATCACATGACTGCAGCATTTATATCCATGCCTGCGTTCAACAGAAGGTTTTCTTACTTCGACAAACCAAAACTGCACTAGCGTACAAAGTGGACGACTGAAATACACAAATACATAAATAATAGTGATAATAATATAACACAAGACACTGTGGAAGATGCATATTCGACAGAAAATCCACATATGCCTGAACCTCACCACATACACCCCCCCGCACTAAAGCCCCAGTCCCACAATGCCTTTCACATGTGTTCCATTCGCAAGGCGAAACCAGACTAAACTAGGCGTGCCGAGGCAGAGAGCATAGCAGCCTGACGTCAGCAGGTCCGGCCCACCATGCTCTCTCTCGTGGAGCCTTGCGGGGCACAGCACGCCACACAGAGACCACCTCAATTGCACGAGTGTCACACTCGCCTTGGTGGATAGAGAGAAGAGCAGCACTTTATCCTTCTTCTGTGTGTAGTGATTCAGCAGGCTCTGCAGAACCTGTGCGGGGCAAGAGTGGAACAACCAAAAATGGAGCTCAAGTTATCAAATAAAACATACTGCTGTTCGCATTATACTGCAGTACTGCAGTATAAAAGAGGATCAGGCATATTTTAAATTCATCAAAAACGCAAGCCTACAAAAACAGAAAAGTCACCACATTCAAGATGGGTGGGTACATTATATAAATAAAATCCTCCATTATAAAATAACTGTACACTAGCAACATGGATTGATTTTTTTTCTGAATGGAATGTGCTTGAATTTCAAAGGAGTGTGACGGGTAGCAAGATTTTGCTGCTAAAGATTAGGGCTGCAAAGAAAAACTGAAGCAGAGAATTTGATTAGGAATAACAAGCCACCGATGTAGCAGGCCTTCGTGCTGGCAGTACCCGAGCAAACGTTTTTCCTGGCCCACCCCGCACATCCCGAGATACGAGTGCAAATGGAGGTGCCTTTGACAGACCATAAACCGCAGCATTCGGGGGCCCCCCGGCGATGAGGGTCCACATGTGCACCGTAGCACGGGACGAGGAGGGAGATAATAGTGGGAACACGAGGAGGATTTTTTCATGGGGGGTGGTTTGCGGTGTTGACTTTGGAGCGGCTCTTATTCAAACATGCTTGCAGTTTCCCTGCCCCCGACTTTCGGGGACATGACGTTTCCTCGGGGGAGCTCGCGAGGAACGCCACCTGCCAATCACGGCACCGGCACACACTCCTGCCTTGCGGCTGCTGGCCGGGCCAGATGAGGGGGGGGGGGAACGGTGTTCTGCTGATTTCAAGGGACCAGTGTCCACATCTGGCAAAGCAGAACCGCTGTCTGTACTGGCAGCATGACCCACGGGCCTTTGTTTAAAATCTCCGGGAATTTGGGCCAGAAAAAAAAGTTGACAAACAGCCAGAAAAATGCTTTGGCTGATTATGCCACAGAAACATTTTATAAGAGCAAATTAAAGAGAGGGAGATTAAAGGAATTCCAAAGTTGCTTGCAAACATTTTGACTTTGAAATTGGTCTTATAAAAAAAGGCGGTTCGCTGTAGTGAACAGGTTTGTTATGGTATAGAGCTCATTTAAGCCCATTATTGCATTATCACCATCACAAATATGGCATCTGGTGCTACAAAAAAAGCCGATTCCTTATAACAGCTTCCTGTACCTTCATCTTTCCACTGTACATTGGGTCAGACATCGCCTCAAAGGCAGCCTGCTTGCACCTCTGGACAAAGTCTGGAAATTTCTGGAAAACCTTTTCACAGATCTCATTCACATATTGCTCCTGAGAGTTGAGGAAAAAAAAAAAACAGTTAAAGAAAATGAATGCAATAAAATAAACTTACTGTAAAGCACACATGCTACTACTCATTACAAGAAATCCGTCAAATGCTCTTTGGGGGAACCCTTAAAAAAACAAATTTAAAAAACAGATTTGAAGACATTTTATGATCTAAGGGAACCAGAATGGATTTTATAACAAAGGAGCCTTAGTGTCTTAACGTCTAACCTCTGGGTACAAAATGGATTTCCCTTTACTCCCTTTGTTGCGTTTTTCAATGCTAAAACTCACTGAAAATGACAGTGTTGTTGTGAAAGGTGAAGGTATAAACCAGAGCTTCAGCCCAAAGTTAATTTACTTCTGGAGAAGTAACTGAAGGAACAGAAGCTGAACCCAAACAAGATTTCAACAGGCTCACAATCTGACCCAAAACTTCATTTGGGGAGAAACCCAAATGATTTAATGGAGTCTGTGTAGTCCAGTTAGGTTCCTATACGTAAAGTTTAGGTTCCTGATAGGTTCCTAAACATCTAAGCTGATTTCCTAAATGTCAAGGCTGGGATCCCATTGGGTTCCTAAACATCAAGTCTGGATTCCTGTTGGGTTCCTAAGGCTAAAGGCTAGGTTCCTGAGGAGTTCCTAAAAGTGAGGTCTAGGTTCCTGTCAGGTCCCCAAACATCAAGGTTCTTGTCAGGTTCCTAAACATTAAGGCTCAGTTCCTCACTTTGCTGACTTTCTGTGATGCATAACACAACGAACCCTCACAAAACGTAACAAGCTCACAAGCCACCAGGACACTAACGAGACTCGTACATATCCTCAGCACGCCCTCACATCTGCACTTCATTTCTGTTTCCCGAAACATCCGGTTGTGATTACCCGCCAATGTATAATAAATAGTGCAGATAAAACACCGGCATGCACGACTGGTTTCCTCCTGCAACACACCTGCGTTTTACTAGTGCCCTCACTGGGCTGCAGCAAGGCTACGTGGTTGGCCACCTTCCTCAGGATGGCCAGGTAGCTGAAGTACAGGTCCTTCACCGCCACACCTTTCGAGTTGTTCTATGCAAGGAAAGAGAACACAAGTCACACCTTCACCTGGAGTCAGAAAAATGGACAGAACAGCACCATCTATTGACCATACTGAAACATGCAAGCATATTGTTCCAAGTAGAGTATGAAGCGCAAAGCTTTCATTAGGCTGGGGCAGGAGCAGAGTTTGATGTTTGCGCCCAAGGGGGCAACATGTGCAATGCTGTGCTTGTCAATTAATTGCAATTTCACCCGCCCCCCCCCCACTAAACTCCACCCATGGGCTGGGGCCTTTAAGGGAATGTTTCTGCAAAATATGTTGATATTATACTTTCATTATATGTATGTCGGGAAACACTGTCAAACTTAGCATGTCATTACAACTGTGAAACACACTGGATTTCATGTGGAAGGTTTGTAAGCATTGCTAAGACTGCTTGCAAGCCCGGGTGTGGTTGTTATTGAAATCTATGGCCCGCATAGGATATTGTTTGGCATTCACCTGAATGCGCTCCTGTATATGGAGAGCATAGGAAGAGAGTTAAGTCAAGACAAGTGCAAGTTCTGGCATTAAACTCTGGACTCTAACCGTAAACTTTCATTTTCAACTTGGGATGTTTTGATTTAGTGAGGCATCTCCAGTTGCCTTATCACAGAAGACACCCATAACGCAGGTGAGAGTAACAGTTAAGTACCAGACTAAAAGCAGAAACCTTAAAAGACCTTGAAGCAGCACTTGCTTCTGGGCCGTCCACTGCTGCAGCATTTCTCGCCGCTGCGCAGAAGTAGCATGACGTCCTCAGAATCCAGGACCGTGCGATACACCATCTGCTGGAAGTCCGTCAATGAGCAGAACACGACCTATGGGCCAGTGAGGAGGACAGGCAGGCAGCCATTAGGAACCCAACGCTTCATGGGGACGTCTTATGAAACTGCAACTTCATTTGATGCCCAAATCCAAATTCAAATTCAACGCTTCAATTAACTGGCTACATGTGGCTATGTTTGTACTAATATGCAACTCCCATTAAATTCCATTGTGACAGTTTAATGAGCAATTCAAGTTGTTATCTGCCAAATCTAACGTATTCAGTCGCCCTACATACTGATCTATCACAACACGGGTAGATTACATCCATAAAAAGTCACCACTGGTCATCCTGCAAGATTTGCCACAAAAACAACAGATAAACAAAAATATGCAAATTTTACTATCAAGAAAAAGATTAACAAAAAGGACTTCGTTTGACTTACATTTTTAAACATGAGCTACTCTCTCCATATATAAACATGAATCATTATATGTTTTGCACACACTTGTGGTTGTGTGCTATATTTAAAAAAAAAAAAAAAAAAAAAAAACTTTTGTTTTCCAACTGGAACATAAATGACCATGAAGTGGACTTTTCAAACATTAAAACTGCAGGACCATCTGGATTTCCTTTTCATAACCAGTCAGGTCTGCAAGGGGGCTGTCATCACTGTATGCCTTCTGAATCACTCTTAATTTGGCCGGACCCAAAAATAACGCACAGGATACGAGACATGGACGGCAGCCTGTTGTAAATGCGGGGTTTGCGCTCACCCTATCATCTTTCCTGGGCAGCTGGTCGCTGATGAGAGCCTTGGTCCTCCTCAGAAACCAGCGGGAGAGTCTCCTGGCCAGAGACCGCACCGCCTCCCTACCCGTGGCCAGAGCCCGCTTGGTCGCACTGTGCCTCTGACCCTGCTCGATGGGTTCAGCGAACTGGCTCCTGAAACTCTCCAGGGTACCTAGACAACTGGGGTTGGCCCTGAAGATGGGGAAGATCAACTCGATTTTTTGATGCCCAAATCCAGCAACAAGCCTACCAGTCTCAGTATTTTGTAGTTTTTTTTACAAAATTTTTTTCATCCAAAAATACACATTTTCAGGTCTTAAACTGAGGAGAGAATCAGATCTCACCAGTCCATGACACACCACAGCTCTTCCAGGTTGTTCTGTAGCACGGTGCCTGTCAGTCCCACTCGCACCCTGCATTTCATCCACTTCATGGCCTGAGTTATCTGAGAGCTGGGGTTTTTTATCTTGTGGGCTTCATCTACGATGATGGCCGACCAATTGATGCTGGAAATGTAAAATTACACATTTCCCAGCTCACCCCATAAATATTTACAAATTTGCAAACACATGATAATGTGTTTATGTATTGCATATTATAATGCAAACACATTTTAATCTCTAAATAAAAAGGTAGCAGCTTATCAACATGCTTCATGTTTTTGTTATCGGAGCCTGAAGCCTGATCGATCGGCAAGACACACCCAGTCAATCGTACAAAAAGTAATCTAACATTGTTTGTTTTCCTTACAAAAGCTACTCACACAGTAAGAATGGTTGGAGACCACTACTATAACCTGTATTGTAATGACTAGGACTGACTGCAAACTGCGTAAACCCAACTGTACCTGTTGAATTGGTCCATGCAGAGGCGCAGTGTCTCATAGGTGGTTAGGGCGATTTCACACCTCCCCCTCTGCACGCGGGCAAACTCCTCATCCTTCCTGGTTCCGTGCACAACGATGCTTCGGAAGTATCCCCAGGTGTCCAGTTCATCCTTCCAGTTGTACAGTAAAGACAGGGGAGCCACAATCAGGAACACCTGAGGGACAAGATGCTATGAGGACACACGTGTTTGTGCATGTGTCTGCACAGGAACGGTAGGCCGGATGATGTTTCATCGTTATCTTAACAAATAGACATGTTTGATAATTAACCCATCATCTCTGAGTCATAAGAAATTGACAGGCAATTCACAAAGCCTTTGGGTGGATGCATGTTCCTGCAAAATGTTTTTGTATTTTGAGAGATTCGCAGTCCTTGAAAATGGAAATGTTGCAGAAAATGTTTCCAGCTGGTCAAGAATTGAATACCTTAGTAGTTTTACATCGTTTGGCTGATCTTTGAGATAGTAAAAAATGTGGAACATTGTTTTCAGCATCCTCCCATGTTCCTGTTTTGCGCAGAACTGCAGCCAGGAATGCTATAACCTGTAAACATGTTGCAAAAAACAAAACAAAAATGAAAAACACCAATAAAAACAACTGCCCTGCTTGAGAAGAAATGAATGACATTATTATGTACGAATATCTATTTTCCTCTACAGTCTAGTGCACTGATAGCTGCTCTTTCAGACCGTGCAAATCTTACGGCATTCCGAGGGAAAAAAAAAACAAAACACATTCATGCTTGAAGGTACCTGTATGGTTTTCCCAAGCCCCATGTCATCTCCCAGAATGCATCCCCGGGATCGGGCATAGCTGTTGTAAATGAACCGGACACCCTCGCGCTGATAGTCCCGTAGATACCGGTTGATGGTGTATGGCACGCTCTCTCCATTTTTGGACAGCACGTACGGAACTGAAGCGCTGGGTGGTCTCCGGCTGTTGTGGAACAGGGGTCTCTCATCCAATTGCGACCTGAATGTGGGGGGCCCTGGACCCGACTCGTCCATTCTTGGGAGATCTGCAGCATGCGCCGCTTTCTCCATCACATCCTGGGCGACCCGCACTGCCACAGCGGCCTGACCGCGACCTGTGGATGTAAGCCTGTGAACTCTCCCCCAGGACCAGCTGAGTCATGCAACTTCCTGCAGCTGTGCGCATGCAGAAGTCCATCCTCTGTCATCTTCATACTCGGACATTTTGAAGTCAAAATACATTTGATGAATTCAGCCATGACATGCAATACCACGCGAAAACTGACCAATACCGAAAAAACCAACGATGCATTAAGCACTTCAGAAAACACTGCGGCTATAAATGAAGACAATTTGACTAATAAAACAATATAATCAGTATTAAGTATCCATTTTGTACATTATACTTCATTTACATGTGCTATATTTTAACATGAAATACCACATTTGGGCAAAAGCTTACATGAACTATTAAAATTAAAAGTATAATAGGCCAACCTTGTAACTCAGATGGAACCGCAGCCATCGGCATTAGTCGTTGTTCTGTCTGCTAGTTCATCCCACAATTTTCGAAATTTTTAAATAAACTCATTTTATTCACGATATTACTGATCTGTGTGGCTATATATATTAGCTACGAATTTTCATGGTGATCTTGCAGTCAAGGTTCTTCACGTTCCTTCAAGACCCTTGTTAAATGTGCGTTCTTTTAATAATAGGCTTCTCCAGACGTATTTTCAGCAAAAATACATCTTAAAAAGGAAGCTTGCGTGCTTGCTAACCAGCTAATCTCAGTTAGCTCAACGAAGGACTGTACAATGAATCCGCAGTAATTCGTTAAATGTTATACTAATAAGAAAATACATACAATTAAAACACAAAGTATGATAAATAAGTTAATAAAAAATGTACATGTCTTTGTAATATGTTTACTACCTCTTGTGGGGCGACAAAAACATCAGCCCGACTACTTTTCCTCAGGCGTAGAGTCCGGTCAGTAAGTAAATTCATCTTTGTTTTCGTATCTTCACAACTGCAAACGGCACTTTCAACAGACTTATTCATATGTAACGAAATACAAATTAGCGTTATTATTTAACAAAAAAATAAATATTATTTTCTAACTGTATTTTCTCATTTGTATGAGTATGTTTGATGGCTGTTATTAATTTGCAGAAAAATCTTAAAGTTCTGACTTTTTCCGAACTAAACTAGATTTGTCCACTAGGTTTGAGGAAAATAATGAGGAATATTTAGACATTGAATAAATATATATATATATATATATATATATATATATATATATATATATATATTAGGCTGCCAGTCCAAATTACAGTGCTTATTGTTTGCCTTTACGTCCCAGATTTACTCTTCCATATACACAGTCAACACACACACAAAAATAAGACAATCTAACATTGTTTACTGGTTGCACAATATAATTTATTTTGTTATTGATGTTACTGTTGTCGTGTGGGTATTCTTGCCTTGGCCCCAAAACTCAGTATTTCTTGAGCAGTAACTATAGTCCTTTTTGGACAGATTTCTTCTCCATTGTGAGTAGGTATGTCGATTCGTAGGTAGCTTTGAACCTGTGATGCTTTCAGACACACCTCCTATGAGTTAAGTGCCACATGTGCTGGCACTTTTTGATGGTCCTGAAGCCTGCATAACAGTTCAGCTGAGTGATACACAAAGAAGGCAAATAAAGAATAGCTTGAAAATGTCTGAACTGGCATGAGAATCACTTTGCGGATTAGATTACAGTCTACAATCTATTTTTTCATTCTCAAGTATCACTCACTAAAAGTCTGCAACAAAACAGAAAGTGTGTAATCTATGCATTACATTATAACACCAGTACAACTAGTAATTAACTTAAAAAATTCCTTAAACAAAACAACAAAGTATGCAAGGGACCATGCATAAGTCAGGCTCTTCGGCTACTCAGATACTATCCAGCCACTGCTCATCCTGTCACAATCCTCTCCCCCCATGTCAATTTGAAAAGAATGGGACTGGGGAGAGTTCATCTGTCAACAGATTGCACAAGTTGGACAATGTCAAGCAATCCTTTGGTTTTTGCCAGTAGCACCTGGACTCTTGTAGGCAATGGAGGTTCACTCTGCAAAAGACATTATGATTATGGAGCAGTTGCCACTGAAGATAGTCATATTTAATCTTCTGAAGCCCACCGGAAATTAACCCAGGGGCCAGCAGTGCTCTGCCTTGCAAAGGCTATCTTGGTTGTCTGCCCTAAGATGTTTAAACCCCTCCCAAACCCACGCCCTGTTTGCTCTTCCCCCAAACCAATGCCCCCCTGCCCCATTGCCAAATCACAAGGTGTCTTTAATTTTAATATCCTGCCTTACTACCCTTTCCAGGAAAAGCAGGTATGCTGACATACAATGCCAGTCAAAAGTTTGGACACACCAAGTTGCCTACAAAGAATGATGGTAGTGTCACATCACATGACCTAGTCACCTGATGTAAACACAGTAGAGATGGTTTTGGAGGACTTTGACCAAGAGTGAAGGAAAAAAATGAATGCTCAGCATGTATATGGGACCTCCTTGAAGACAGCTGGTAAAGCATCCCAGGAGGTCACCTTATGAAACTTATGTAGAGGAGACAGTGGGGTCAGCCAGTCCCTGGAGCAGTTGGGGTTAAGGATCATGCTCAATGGTCCAATGGTGGGATCTCTCTTCTGACCATGGGATTTGAACCAGCAATCTCAACCCACAAAGCAGCCCCCAATAATTTTTTTTGTTTGTTTAATACTTCTGTGTTTAGTGAATAATTTCATAAATTATTTTATAATTTTCATATCTTTATATTTATTCTAAGATGTACAGAATAGTACAAATAAACGTTTCCATGTGTGGGTGTGTCCACACTTTTGACTGGCACTGCAGGTCTTTGGATTTTCCCTCCACAGGCTTGTGTACTGTGTACTGTGCTGGTGTACAAGGCCAAGAATGTCAGGCTTTGGTGCATATGGGGTGTAAACAGCACCAACTCCATCAAAACTTTATTGGCGATGGGGAACCGGCAATGAAGAATAGGTCTGGATGTGGTCTGTTTGTGAGAATGTAGTCTTCCCTGTGAAGTTGGGAAATCCAGTAATTGAGGTATGTTAGAGCCATAGGGAGGTGCAATAGGAGAAGATTCCAGATTATTGAAAAAGTATGTACATTTCTCAGGGTACAGAATCCAGAGAGGATGTTAGTAGGACCTCTGAACTGTATATGCCATTGAAGAATGGTGGAGGCTTCCCCTTGTGTGGTCTCATGACATCACCCAGTCATGTAAATAATCAAAACATCAGTATATGTATGTTGCTCTGCATAAACCATCTCTCTAGGAAACTGAAGTTAATCATAAGGTCCGACCATAAAAAATTACAATAATATTCAGTGAAAGTGACTCAACGGGTGTACAGTTGGCCCTCTGTATCTGCAAGTTCTGCACCCCCAGATTCAACCAACTGCGGAGTGAAAATATTCAAAATAAAACTCCCAGCAAGTTCCAAGAACCAAAACCTGAAATTGCTGTGCACCAAGCACTACTCTGAACTACGCAAATGAAGTGACGTTTATGTACAGAGAGCAAATGAATTTATATTTCTTGTCATTGTTCCCTGAACAATACAGTATACCAACTATATATATAACATTTATTTTGGGAGGATGTGCGCAGGTTATATGTAAAGACTATGCCATTTGATATAAGGGACTAGAGCTTCTACAGAGTTTGGTATTTTAAATGTGAGGCATATTGGGGGTTTCAATGTAGGCATTTTGTTAATACTTAAACTGGATTCCTGATTCCAATTTCCCTATATTATGTATCATATGATACATAATATAGGGAAATTGGAATCAGGAATCCAGTTTAAGTATTAACAATGTGTGTGTGTGTGTGTGTGTGTGTGTGTGTGTGTGTCTGTGTATATCACCTGGTTACCTCTCAGTCAATGAAATGACACGTGCAAATAGTCATTTTTAATTAAAACAAAAGTGATAATAGTTACAGGAGTCTGTTCATGGTAAACACTTTTTTTAAAGGGGGCAGAAATGTCCGCGGATCAGTGGAAGAACAAGTGTGCGATCTAGCTGAGTATGTAAACGGATTGACATCAGTGTTTGGATTTCTCTCTGGGAACATCAGCGGCAGCTGCTCTATAAATTCTTGGTGCTGAGAAAACAGGAACAAAAAGTTCCATTTTTGTATAGCAGTGTAGCATGGCCTAGCGCATGGCTTCAGCTGGTGGGCTGTATGTTTAGAGGAAAAGAACAAGACATGAATCATGTAAGTGCCAAGCAAGCATATTCCACTGCTCTCCAGAGCTGATTCTTTGACTCTTTCTCCTGGGTTCATATGTTCCATTAAATATTGTGCTTTTCTTTTATTTGTAGCCTTATTTCTCCGTAAAAACTCCTCCTGTGCAGTTTCTGAAAATGTGCCTCATTCTATTAACAAAATACCTCCTACCTGAGAACTTTTGAGTCGAGGACTTTTCTTGTCGACCTTCGATGAAACAACAGCAGATGTACAGATGCCGGCCTGTTTACGGCTGATGTGCTTTACCTTTTCACTGGCCTTCCTCTGAAAATCCAGCCACTTTTGGCATGTGACAGAACCAGCTGCAACAAACAAAAAGCGAAGAAGCCTCTTTTCTAACATTTAAAATAATTATAGGACATTTGAATTGGGCAGCACATTTAGTATGCAGTTCAGGTTTTAAATATTTACTAGAAGTTTGTCATAATCAAATATTTTTACTGAAAAACCAAATGGTCCATTTGTCTTATGCTGCTAGGGAAACACTCCACCTCTTGTCTGGTGCTCTCCCATGAGTCACGCAGTAACTGGGGCCAAAACCAATCACATCCCTGCCAAAAAAGGCCGTTTGAAATGGAAAATGGAGATGATATTTCTTATGATGTTCTTAGTTCAGCTTTTGGGGTTTACGGTATGAATATAGGTTTCATCACTGGACCTAATGGATAATTAGACTCAGTTGAGCCCTTTTCCCATCCCTGCCATCATGCCTTATATGAACAAATCGTGTAAAACTTTCTTACTATGAAAACCCTGGATTCTCATTGTGTTTTACACGTGTGAAGTCAACGTGTCTGTCAGCTTTTCTTCACTGTGCCATGTCAGCCTGGTAATATGTCAGCAAAGTTCTTAAAAGAATTTCATTTGGTGGGATGGGAGAACCAGCATAACTGTAATTCATAGTATAGTTATTACAAAAACATTTGGAATGTAGCTATCGTAAATTGTAGTCTTTCATAAATTGATTTATTAATATAGACCTATTCCATTCAGGGATGTACCCCAGTCTTGTGCCCTATGTATGGATGGAGTATACTTAGAAAAAAGAACATTGTACCACATTTTGGAAAAACACATTTTATTAAACATGCCCACATCAGTTGAAATTGTTGACTAAATTTAGATTTAGTCAAAAAATATTGTGTTGGGAGCACAGCAGCATCGCGATGGGCTGTTTGGAAGGTGCCAGACTTCTCCCCCTAAACTGTCATTACAAAGTGCAACTGAAACATTTTTTAGCTCCCACCCAGGAACTTTACTTTATTCACCCACAGCACGGCTAAGTACAAAAGGAATTTGAAAAACATCTCCAAACAAGAAGTGATCCATTTGCGTAATTTACCCTTACAGCAGTCGAGCCCAAAAACGGAGCTGCCATGCTTTTCAATTAAGTTGTACAAAATTTGACAGTCTTCCAAGCAGCTCTGAACTCATTCCAGGTTTTTTTTTCTCCTTCTTCTTCTTCTTTCCCCTTTGGAGACGTTCAGATAAAAAGCAACAAAAAGGGCACTTGAAAAAAACCCAGCTTGGCGCAAACAGCCCCGGCATCTCGACACCTCCTCCCCCGACAGGAAGGCCGGCACTGGGAGGACGCCCTTTGCAATGTCACCCGCTTCTTGGAACTTGCTGGGGGCACATATGAACCCGCTGGTGGCATCGATGATTCT